TTTTTTCAGGGTGGTTTTTTACCCTCCCTGTTTTTTTCAGGGTGTTTTTTTTGTTGTTGTTGTTGGTTGGTTTGTTGGGGTTTGTTGGGGTTTTTTGGGGTTTTTTTGTGTGCCTCCTCACTGGCAGAGCATGAGACAAGAAAAAAGTCCTTAATTTAACACAAACACGATTTAACAAATAAAATCAAAATACCAGTGTAATATTAACATGATTCTCATTCTGAATGCAAAACACAGCACTGCAACAGCTACTGAGAAGAAATTAACTCTACCTTATTGAAACCAGATCACTCCTTTCCAGCATTTCAGGCTGTCTGTACAAAAAAAAAAAAAAAAAAAAAAAAAAAAAAAAAAAAAAAAAAAAAAAAAGCCAAAAAATTGTACAGATTATATAGTTTCACCTTGCACTTGAACAGAGTACATGATCAAGGGGAAAGGATTAATCTGTGGAGAGTTTTGTATTCTCAGTGTTGTTTCTTAGACACAGGCAACTGGTGGTACAGTCATCAGCAATGAATTTTTTTTTTTCTGTACTTTCTTATCTGGCTCTTTCAAATCATAGAGAAACCTGCTGGGTTCTCATCCCCACTTATAATCAAATTGAGCTACAGGTTACCCCACTGTGCTTTATCTGAAATTTTAAGTTGGATCTACATTAACTTTGCACATCATCTCATGTGGTCTCATCAGGACTTTAGACAATGCAGAGACTTAGATTTGTTTACCAACTGTATTCCATTCCAGACTACAAATCACCTCTGAAAATGCCAGTGCCTTCTCTCCCCAGTGCATATACCCAAGCACAAAACACTTACTGATTTATCATGCTGATGCAGGAAGTCTTAAATTCAAAAATAATTTTAAAAAATTAAAATTACAGCACTGATTGTTCTTTGCCTAACAGAGCTATAAATAAAAAATAACTCTTTTTTTCGTCAATTACACTACAAAGTTATAAAACTGACCTAAGAGAACAGAAAGTAAAATAAACACCCACATGTTCTCTCCTATGTATGGTTATAAATGATGAAGAAACACCAAATCCTTACATAGGATTTAAGGCAAATGACACTTTCCTTACAAATTATCAAGTGTTATCCAATATCACTGACATGCTAGCCCAATGGACAGATTTATGAGTTGTTTACATCTTTATTGCAGTGAGGAAAAGTATTAAAATTATTATCTCCTTACAGATGATCATGTTACATCCAACTTTCCCAGGGCTGCATTAATACTGGGGTAAAACCATATATATAAGCTTCTTGATAATTTCCTGATATCAAAATTCCTGCTGGAACAACCTGACAAGCACAACAGGATGCTCTAAGGTCCTCAAAATTTTACATCTATCTTTCCTGGTTCTCTCTAGTATTTGTAGATGTATTAGCATTTTCAAGTACACAATAACACTGTGTATCTAATTCCAGGCACTGACACAAATATGATGGAGGGGTTTGTCAAATCCTTTTTCCCTGTAAAATAGACAAGAAGAAGTAATAAAAGTTCAGAAGGTATCTTACATCTATACACATGGAGAGTTTTTTTGTGTGTGTGTGATTTCTCATTTGTATTTCTTTCACAGATTTTACTATAGCAACTGAAGATAACTCCCAAAAAAACAGAAAAGGAAAACTTCAGCATTTGCATTTTTAAAATATTAGCAAGCAAGCAGAAGTCCCAATTAAGCACATTGGTTTTAAAAATTATTCCATTTTTTTATAAAGAATTAGACCTATTTTTAAAAACTGCTTTTATAATAAATAGGTGCGCTTTTTTCCTTATTTTAGTCAGAGAATCTGATTTAATTCTATGTTTTGGCTCATTTTTGATCTACATTTGCAGAACAGTTAGTGACTTGTGATGTTCTAAAGGGGATTGCTCAGAAACTGCAGGTTATCATGCAATTTCATCTGAAAAAATTTGTGTTTTTCCAAGACTAACAGGCAAAACTGGGAACTCAGACTTGTGCTCATTTCTGATGGAGAAACATGAGTGAAGACCAAAGAGATAAATTTCTTTCTCCTTTAGGAAAAAAAAAAAAAAGTCTTTTTACCTTGTTAGGGAATACATTAAATTATTTACCTCATTATCTTTCTACCAATAAAAAGAAAAAATATATTTGTAAACCTTGCAAATATGAAAGGAACATGTAATTTTTTTTGCTACAGAGGTCCTGAACAGCCATACAAAGTTGGTGTGACACTAATCCCTAGGAGGGCTTTGATACTATATATCTTGTACAAAAATCAACAATCTCTTCCCACATAGCTATTGTGGAAGGAGGAAAAATCTAAAATGCTTAAATGAGAAGTCTTTAAAAAGCATAAAGAATCACAGCATGCTTACAATTTGCAAATCCTATTGTTTTCACACCTCTTAAAAATAAAAATCTGCAGTATCCAGACAGGTAAAATGAAAGCAAGGAAATAGCAAATGCAGAGGTCAATAGGGTAATGACTTCATTTGAACTATTTGGTGAACAGCTCAATAAGTCAGTGAATCAATACTGGGGGCGGGGGGGAGGGGGACTTTTTAATTATAAATTATATCCAAGCTAAATAACAAAATGAAAAGTGACATAGGAATGCAGAACTATGTTGAAGCTGACATAGGAAAGCAAAAAGACTGACCAAAAATGGCTGAACTTTCAAAAGCAAATATGACCAGTTATATATTATTAAGAGCATTTTCAATTCATCTTTCATTCTATCACCACTCAGCAGGGTGTGTAAACCTTTATTTGACATACTGAAACAATAATGACTAAAGACATTCACAGTTTTTACTGTTGTACCTCTCCAGTACAGACTGTGAACAAATATAAAATTTGCATGTGAAAGGGAGGATAGAAGGAAGATGATCTGAATTGTCCCAGATTTTGTGCAACTGGAAGTAGGATCAGTGTTTCATTTCACCCTTTTGCTAAAACCTGCCTATGGTGAATGACTGATACAATACATGGTGAGGTTATTGCCAGAGTCACGTCAGTAAAGTGTGCTGGTGCTGTGAGAACTGGGCATCATGCAAACAGGTATTTGGTGCAAGCTCTAGTTCAAAAAGTCTTAGCAACTTTAGCATCCTTGTTATCAGAAGAGCAAAACTGATACCAAGTGTTTATTAAAGACAATATACCTGTAAAAATTACAACCAGTTTAACTAAAAGACTGCAAGATCCAGTTTGACAATTGACTATAGTCTTGTTCTACAAGAAGTTGGTAGGTTTTCACTTTATCCTTAGAAGGTTTGTTTTACCTACTCAGAGGCACTACTAAGTGGTTTTGATGAACATATACATGATATACATGATGAAATTAAGTACAGTGATAACACACATCCAAACTGTGAGAAAAAAGGGACTGACACACCTGTGGTGTTAAATACCTCTGAAAACATGTGTATGATGTAGGTATACCAATTTTCTGGTCAGTGGAATCATAAAATATTGTAAACCAAGCCAAATAACACTACAGTGCAGTAATGAATGTTTTTCCCACAGAAACAAAACATTCATGACTGAAGCTATAGGATTCTTATTACAAAAAAAAAAAAAGTCCTGAAAAAATTAGTTGAAAGTACTTTCTGAAAAAGAAGTTTACTATAAACCTGATAAGTTTGATTGCTCTGCCTATAATGCCATTTTCATTCTTTCTTAATATTTTCCAGCCAAATTAATGAAGATAAAATATTAGGATCAATAAAGCCTACAGAGGAGTTCATACAGAAGAAATCTGCTCTCAAGAAATATGAAGCATGCGGAAATGCCTGACAACATTCCACACCCATGCAGGACATGAAGACCACAGAGGATGGAAGTAACGTGAAATGAAAATGTATTCTGAAAAATTATAAATGACAGCACTGCAGCCCGCCCACAAATATTCATACATCCTGTGGAAAAACGAAGGAAACACAAAACTGAAAACCAGATAGAGCAAAGCAGAAAGGACAAATTCAATTAACCTCTGCCAGAGAAGGCATATTTTCCCTGTTCCTTCATTATCAGTTATATCACTTTCAGTGTATATTGTCAGGACGTCAACACAGGAGATTTTGGTAGGCAAAAGTCAACACCTGCATCTTATTACCTTGTCATCCCCAAAGCAGAAAGCCAACAGAGTTTACAATAATGGAAGGAATAAAAGCAAACAATATGATGCAGAGTCTTGACCTGTAAAATAATTAAACATTTTTCTTCACTTCATATTTAACTCCTGACATATATTTCATATTACTCTGTCATTAAGCAGAAAAGTGTAACCAGATTTCACTACATCTGGAGTATGGTCAAATGGAAGCAAAGTGTAGATATAAAAATTACATTCTCCACCCAAAATAAAACAACAAAGCATTACAGATAAATCATCATCATCAGTAGGAGGTTTGTTGCTTGCTATGAGATGAGTAACTACAAAGTCTAACACAGACAGCTACAGGTATCCTCACTCTCTGAAAATGTGCCAGTTGCATAAGACATAAGCACAGTTAGAAATATTTTCTGAGCACATTAAATTCATTAAGTTAATTGCATGTTATTAGATGTAAAGTCAGTGTATCAATCTATGAAACATGGTCAAAAGACTGAATTCTTTCTGTAGTCATGTAAGTTTTGGTTTCATGCTGAGGTGTAATAATAGAGATTATAAAAAACTTTGAGGTCCAGAAATTACATCTTTTAAGAAAATCAAGCGTCAGGCTTAGAGACTGTTTGAAATTCTCTTATTCAGTTCACTACCCTTTGGATTAAATATGGATTACATTTTATGAGATATTGTGTCACAGGACAATGACAAAACAAAACAAACTGACACTATGGGGTCACCGTCAGAGCTGTGACTGAAGGGGAATGCCCCTGCTCTGTAAGTACATCATCATTTCAGTGCATGGCACCAGCAGCAGATCACTTTGCCTCAGAGTATTTTGTTGATTTAGATACTCATAATATGACACTTATTAGATATTAAATACTAAGATACTTGTTATTTAGATACTTTTGATTATTTTAGATACTCATAGAGTTGGCTTGAAGGACAAAACCCCAGCTAGATTGGAGGATCTCTGCACTGTGCTACCTGGAAGCCTGCTGTTTCCTTAAGATCACCTACTTGCCTATAATTGTTGCTCTCACCATTTCTTGGGAACTTGAGGAGGGCTCAGGGCATTTTGAAGGATTCATCCAAGTGTCTCAGAGGTAGGAAATATCTCCATGACCACTAACACAGGTCCTGAATACAAATTAATTTTCTGAAAAGCAGGGAGTGGGTTTATGAGACACAACTCTTCACTTCTGAAGACAGCACATTGTACAGTGAACTTGCAGGGCTGTGGCACAAAGAGTTTGCATCCTGGGATTATTTACTCACTTTATTATCATGTAGGCCATGGCAGAAGAAGAAAGGTTACATTATCTCTGTGTATACTGTACTAGTGATACGACCACTATTGGAGAATTATAGTCAGGTATGGCCTTCAGATTTTAGGAAAAATATCAATAAATTGGAAAAAAATAATATAAACTCCCATGAACATTCAAAGAATCATAATCTTTGAATGATAGAGAAATTAAAAAGTTAATTCGATGTTTGCAAGGAAGAATACAACCTGGATATAAAAGAGAAAGAAAGCAGATTTTTAAATCTATCTCCTCTGTTTCTCAAATTAAGATACAATGATGTGTAAAAGTTGTAGGCTAAAGGTTAATAAATTAAATATAAAAAAATTTGCCATCTTTATAACAGAGAGTGAAATTAGCCATTGGTGTAACTTAGTAAGCACTGTTTATCACTAAAAGTAAGAGATTCAAAACTTGAGGGTTTTTTTCTAGGAGCAATGACTATGAACACTGTGCATCTTCCAGTCAGGAATCACTCACAGAAGTTCTATAGCTTCTGTGCAAAGGAAGTCAGAACAATATGACCATGGTAGTTCTGATATCTCACCTCAAAACTCATGAACTGAAACACCTAAACAGTAATTAAGAAACATTTAAAATTTTGCTGAGATCTCTAAAATGATATACAAATTCATACCACAATAAAAAACAATTGTGTAATTTTATGTTACTTTGCCAAAATGCCTTGTAAACGATACACTTATAAACTAATAGAGGTTCAGTGCCTGTGCTTCAGAGCTTTCTATTAGACATTTCAGTAAAAAGAAGCAAAAAAACTACAGTAATTCTTGTGCCCTATTTGTCTATATGCAAGAGAAACCAGCCAAACTGAAATCAGTCCAATTAATCTTACTTGGAAGTAACCTATGAATTCTCTCTGAGAGAAATGTTCCAATGTTCTTACTTATGGAGGCACCCTGGCTTTGAGAACATGACTAATATATTTCTTATTTGCCTACGAGAACACTTGTAAAAGGTGATTTCAATATGGTTAGACAAATACATTTTTAGTACTATTATTTTTATTATTATTATTGTTGTTGTTGTTGTTATTTCAATAGCTGACATCTCTGAAAAAGCTCATTTTGGAGAATTCTTGAAGTACTTTCTCAAGCAAAGACATGAAATGGTCTCTGACATTTCTGAAGACAGTTTTTTTAATGAAAATTGGCAAAACTCCTTCTTGTGGTATGTAGCTGCAATCAAGGGTTCTTACTCACCATAAAACATATCAAAATAATGTATGGAATTCCCACTAAAGAAAATTAATTGAAACTAGTCAGGTAGAAACATGTATGTTTTTGCAGAGAAAAGTTTTTTTGTAGCGGTTCAGTTAATTTGTTTCCTCTTTGGAAAACCACACTACACAGTTGCTTTATTTTCCCAGCTCATGCCTTTGAAATAAAACAAAATTCCAATACTTCCAGTGGTAATGTTGCTTCTCTCAACCTGTGCAGGGAAAAAAAAATCCATTTTGACTTCCAGCTGGCCTATTAGTTAGTTAATTAGTGCAGCTTATTACAAAATCAATAACAACATGCCTTTGCTGATACTTTTCCCATTTACGAATGTGAATATACAGGGCTTCCAACTACTTCATTATTGAATTTATTTCTTGGAAAGATTCTTCAGTGAGTAATGTATTAGGCTGGCCTGAAATCTCTCCACATATATAGAACAAACATAAAAGTGAGACTGAGGGAAGACTGTTTGCTAGACTTCTAATTCTACAAAGTCTGTTCAGGTACCAGACTTTTCTTTACTGCATGAAACATCAATAAAATACAGTATTAAAAACCCCCACACGTTTCTATAGCCTTTAATACAATGCTCTCTAACAACAGAAATAAAAAGAGCAACATCATTGTCTCACTCTAACACCTGTAATGACAGCAGCAACAATTTTGTGTGCTTCTAAGCTCAATAACATTAGATGCAAAGTTATCTCAGGTACTTTAAAACACAAAGGGGAACATTTCTGGTCAGATAAAGTAATTTTTAGTACTCAATAACATCAGAGCAATTCTAGCCAAAATAAGTTGCCAGCACATGGGAGACGCATATTTTAAGTTTAATTTTGTCTCACAGTGTTGAAATATTATTTCTCTTTTTGATCACTTTGACAGGTTTCCAGACCCTGGCACTCCTTATTCTACTTCTTTAGAGGAAATAGGAGACCTAAAGCCTATATAGTCTGGGCCAGATTACAAGAGTGATTCCTCAAGTTTTGCTAGGAGCTTAAATTATTCTGGTTGTGTGATGATACTGGGTAGAACTCAGTGATGCTTAGATGGAACTAAGCAGCGGGATTTGTAATTTTTCCCAGTATTCAACTTAATTCCAAACATATAAAATACAGAATGTATAAAACCACAAGCCCTGGGAAAATTCAACTTCCTTTACTTTAGCTCTTTACTAAGCTACAAAGTGTTTCCATGCATTGTGGATCTAAATAAGCTTCTTATGTGGCCAATTAACAAGCTTCTCAGATTACTTTTAATGGCTTAGATATACTAGAAAATTATGTTAATATATTGTGATTTCTGACCAATATAGTTATCTATCTAGTGATGCATGCTTGCTTTCCCTGGTAGCTGGAAGCTGTGTGGGTGGTTAGGTGCCTGGATGTTCTGTTCAAGTTTTATAAAGGATCAGGCTACATTCAGCAGTGCTGAATCTGGTTCTCCACTATCCTAACAGCTCATGGCTGACAGTTCAAATGTGGAAACAAAAATTTCTTCTTTGAGCAGCAAGAAATATGCTCCTGGCATCTTTCTTCTGCACTTGTCAGTCATGAAACTGTACTATGAAGATTTTGAGACCACTACAGCAGCAGTGCTAATACAAGAGTTACAGAAATATTGGTATTCAAGGATCTGAAGGGAGGCTTGTTTTTCATGCAAAATAACTAAGAAAATGATTTTCAAATATTCCATAGACTCTATGGGATTATGCCAATGCTTTGACTGTGCCTGCCCCAACATTTTACTTGGATGATCTCCCTGTTGCTTTGAAATGTGCAAAGACTTTGTGCAAAGTCTTTCAGTACAGTTTGATCTGCCTAGACCTGCATTATTTCATCACAGAACTAAGACTGCATGCATAATTTCTTTGATAGAACTGTCTGGTTATGTTCTGATATTTTCATCATCTCACTAAAATCACTTTAAAATAATAACCAGAGTAAACAAATTTTTTAAGTAGTGGCTTTAAAAAACCCTTGCTCCATAGCCAGGTGGAATAGGCTGAGATATCCCAACCTGAACCACACAAAATTTGATACAATTTATGTTGTATCAACACTCTGATACACTCCTGTATCAGAGCTCTGATACACAGGAGACAAATGATGAGACTCCTTACAAATCAATGTAAAAGATGTTCCCCAAACACACTTCATGCTGCAATTTCTCTAATTTCAAACATATTTTTTTATCTGTAAACCACACAATCCTATGCCCCATAGAGGCCCTTCTGTGTAAAGATCCAGATGAACTAATGGAATAGGAACAACAGGCTAGATGTTAGTATAAATATTTTCCTCTCAAATAAAGATTCAGTCTAAAATCCTCTCTGTACATGGGGCTTGGGAAGCAAACTGATCTACAGAACTGGTTTTGTTCCTGCTCTTTCCTGGAAACTACAAACATCTGACCACCTTCAAGGAACTTATCTCTCTCTTAATAGTACACAAGTTTTCCCCAGCGTTTGAAGAATAATACGTAATGGTGAAAAACACTAGGCAGGTTATAAAGTTTGTGAGAATACATATATATATATATTTCTCTGGGTACTCAACACATTTTTTTCAAATTAAACACTATAATACCTGTTTATTCTGCAATACCAGCAGGAATGTGAATGTATTTTAAAAAGTAGATTTTTCTGGACCTTATGTGGTATAAGATGAAGTGCTTCCCTCAAGTGTACCATGGAGTCCTGCTCTCTGCACTGCAGAACTGGTCTGCTGTCTTCATGCACCACTGTGGGTACAGGTACAACTTTGCAGAGGTGCAGAAAGGAGAGCTCCATCCAGAGACAGCATAAATTTGTAGTGCTTATGAAAATAAAGTTAGTAGAGACCGAGACAAATACAAGCAGCAAAGCAAGTAAGATTTAACTCTTTCAGGTAACAATGCACAGGAAAAGTCCATGGACAAAGGTGGATCATCAAAACATAAAGTCCAGCTACTTAAGCAGATGACCAAAATGGCTGTCAAAATAATTTCTTTCTGCAGTACTACATGCTGTGCCATAACATGCATTATTAATTTTTCTAGCAGAGTAAGTAAACAATATTTTCCATGCCATGTCACAGATCAAAGACCTAGATACTGTTCCTATTAAAAATGACAACTGTGATAATCATTTTTGTTTACATTCCAATGAGCCAACTACATTATTTTGTTTTTTGTTGGGAGCGTATACACTGCAGTATTGAACCATATACTTTCTCCTTTTTGCTAGAATGTAAATGGAATGATAACTTTCTTCTTCTCACAGAAAATAAGATTAATTTAAAAATCTGTTTATACTGTAAAAGCATTGTAGTATTGTAGTCCATTGAACATTTGCAGAGCATTTTCAGTTATTTCCATAAAATCAAACATTCATCTTCAGTCCTTAAGGTTTAAATAAATTTTATGATGACAGTGCTGTTCTGCTGCACCATTTGCTCTTAAAAGTTAATCAAGAAAGAAAGCAAGTTTTGGAGTAATTGAATAAAGACTTCTTAACACAAGAGCGGACAAGGACAATTGAATTATTTCCACATTTCTTTAAAATCTCCCTCATGCTTAGATAGTTCTTCATGGTGAGTCATTTTGGGATGTAGGTGATTTATTTAAAATGTAGCAAAACAAGTTACACAGAGTAACTTCCTCCTTATTAGAGTAGTAAAATCTAATGCCACAAGAATTACAAATCTTAGGGGAATAATGCGCAGGCTAACCAGACATCCCCATATAGTTCATGCTTTGCAGTGTTTCCCTCTGCTTGGATCTCTCTCCAGAGTGGCAAGTTAAGGTAGGAGAACCTTTACCTTTCTTGCTGCACTCCTTTCAGTTTCCTTATGCCTTGTATGAGTATACAGGACCACACGACTTACAATTAATGCCTGAGAATCTCTCACTTTTTTTTCAGTTGTATGATAACAAATGAAAAGTTCAAACAACCATAGCAGAAAACTTGTGTGCTAGGAAATTTTACCACCTCTGAAGTCAACTAAGACACCACCCCACTGATTGACTGATCTCAGGAGGTCAAATGAGAGTCTTACAATTAGCTATGAAAATAATTTTCTGTGGAGGAGGTATATTAGATTTGCTGCAATAAGGTCTCTTTAGAGAGTAGCATGCTATGAATTTCAAAGTGCTATCCTGATGACTTATGCTCACAGGGAGCAAAAGATAAGACACATATCAATAGCTTTGATTTATGTAGTGCAGGTAAAATGCCACACTTTTAGCAGTTTGGTTAAAAAAAAAAAAAAGTGTATCTATATATAAATTTCATTCATTTGATAATTTCTATTTCATCTTACCAGTTATTACAAACCTGCTGGCACAATGCCCTTTTGCAGGAAATCAATGACCCAATTCTAAATTAAAGTATTTGAAAAACTCTTCAGTAGATGGCTAATTTTGTTTGTTCTTGTTATCCATAAATGTCTGTGCCATTAAATTCTATATTTGCATGCGTTTATTATGTGGGCTCATAAGAGTCAATCAGAAAGTGACAACATTAGTGTCTACTTATATGGTAAGGTTTGAATACAGATCATAATGCTTTTTCAGTGTTTCTCAGGTAGTAGTGCACTGTTAAGTCTGTTTCTCAGTACTGACTAGAATTACTTGATTATAGCTGATGAAACATAAGGAACTATCATTTGCGCCACATCATGACTCCTTTCACTATGTTCTGAGATGAAAGAAATTCCTTAAGTGGAGGAAAAAAAAAATCTGTAAAAGCTTACCACAGAGGCAGGCTGGAAGACTACACCAAAGTCTCAGACTATCCCTAGATAGAAAAAGAGAAGAGAAAGAATATGTCTATTTAGCAAGTTCACTTTTCATGTAATAAGCCCAGTTCTTACACCCATAACTGTTGAGAAAATTCGGAACTTGAGAGTTGTAACAAAATAAAGGCCAGTCCCTACCCAGAGCCTCTCATAGCTGAACGCTCACATTTAAGGCACGCACACAAAGCTTTTAACTCTTAACTTGGAGTTGCCACAGATTGCCATGGGAACTGAGGTCAGGAACTGGGAATGTTTTTTAGTGGAGGATCATAGATAAAGCTAACTTTAAACCTGCATGACAAAGTCTTCTTTGGTTTGGTTACACATTCTACACCCTGTCTAGAAATCTGGA